GCTGAGCATTACACTAAGGAAATAAGGAAGGGAGGGTCAGTGGAGAGCACCGGAGTTTAGCCTTTTTTCATTCAGTGTCATCAACAGGAAGAGAAAAAGGCAGGAAGAAACGATATAAACAATAATTGAAATGAGGTCGATAGTTTTAACTTATTGTTCGATTAATTGACTTATCGTTTATCGGGACAGGCCTATTTCTAACTAGTCAGGAAGCCTCTGGATTAAGCTATCGCCATCTTGTTTGCTGACCTGGAGATCCAGAAAATCATATTTTGACTCGCATCTAGTTCTATTCTGGTCAGAAGAACCTCATTGGTTGAAATAATGTTCATTTTTGTAAGACTATAATTATAGAATAACCCAAGAACATCCTGTTTTGATACAGTGAGGTTAAAGTGAAGAATTTCTTGTTTGATTGATATTGTTTGTTTTTTCCTTTTGTCCAGATCTCTCACAATGCAGTGAAGAGGAGGAGATTCTCAATGAAACAGAACCACAGAGGAACCAACTCATCTCTCATGGCTCTGAAATAACTGAGAACCAGGATCAGGAAGGAAGCAATTCTGAAATCCAGGAAAAAAGAGAAAGGAAAAACAGAAACAAAACGAGAGATATGATAAAACCAAACAGCAGAAAGACAGAACTGACAATGAAAAACAAAAAAGCAAAAGAAAGCTCAGCAAGGGCAAAAATTATATTCTTGTAAAATTTGTGATAAAACCTTTTCTCTAAACGGTAACTTGATGAGCCACATGAGAACTCACACAGGAGTAAAACCTTTCACTTGTTCAACCTGTGGAAAAAGTTACAGACAAAAGGACGGTTTAATGTATCACATGAGAACACACACAGGTCAGAAACCTTTCTCTTGTGGAACCTGTGGAAAAATTTTCTTCATAAAAGGTTCTTTAAATGCTCATATGAAAATTCACACAGGTGAGAAGCCTTTCACCTGTGGGACTTGTGGAAAGAGTTATCGTTACAGACGGAGTTTATATAATCACATGAGAATTCACACAGGTGAGAAGCCTTTCTCATGTGGAACCTGTGGAAAAAGCTTCTGTCAAAAAAATCAATTAAATGTTCATGACAATTCAATTCACACAGGTGAGAAGCCTTTCTCCTGTGGAACCTGTGGAAAGTGTTTCAGTTACAAAGGGACTTATATAATCACATGAGAATTCACACAGGTGAGAAGCCTTTCTCCTGTGGAACTTGTGGAAAGTGTTACAGTTACAAAGGGACTTTATATAATCACATGAGAATTCACACAGGTGAGAAGCCTTTCACCTGTGGGACTTGTGGAAAGTGTTACAGTTACAAAGCGACTTTATGTAATCACATGAGAATTCACACAGGTGAGAAGCCTTTCTCATGTGGATCCTGTGGAAAAGTTTCTCTTGCAAAGGTCATTTAAATGTTCACATGAGAATTCACACAGGTGACAAGCCTTTCTCCTGTGGAACTTGTGGAAAGTGTTTCAATTACAAAGCGACTTTATGTAATCACATGAGAATTCACACAGGTGAGAAGCCTTTCTCATGTGGAACCTGTGGAAAAAGTTTCTCTTGCAAAGGTCATTTAAATGTTCACATTAGAATTCACACAGGTGAGAGCCTTTCTCATGTGTGAACTGTGGAAAAAGTTTCTCTGAAAAACGTAAATTAAATTCTCATATGAAAATTCACTCAGGTGAGAAGCCTTTACTTTGTGGGACCTGTGGAAAACGTTTCACCACTAAAGGCAGTTTAAATGTTCATATGAGAATTCACACAGGTGAAACAACTTTCTCATGTGGGACCTGTGGAAAAAGTTTCAGAATAAAAAAACAATTACTTCAACACATAAAGATTCATATGAGTGCCAAACAGTGACATGTGGTTAGGTTCATAGCTGGTGAGGCAATGCCTCATGACGTATAAATTTAGACACCATGCATGTTATTGTTTACAAAGAGAAATTTTGTGCATTCATGCAACGCTGGAGGGCAAAAAGACCATTCTTTTACATGTCATTCCTGGCTGTGTTAACTCATTGAAACTTAGAAATGTAGGTATTATGGGTTGTTGTTATGTTGCTGTACAATGTTTTAAGATGTTGTTCAATGTTCCCCTTTTTAACGTTAAGCCCCTACCCCTTCAACTGTCTCTGTACGGCCCTGTTCATATGTAAGGCAACGCGTATTGTTTTTACATCCTAGCTTGGTAATCCCCAGAGTGCTAATGTTGTTAGCATCTAACTTAGTGCTGAGTCCTGGACATATAATGTGTTTATTCAGTGGGACCTTCATGCTAACAATTATAATCTATCCAGCCGTTCAGTCTTTTCCTGACCCCCATCTGAATTTCTTGCAGCATCCAGGTCACATGAATGAAGCATGTGACCTGGATGCTGCAGGTCACATGCAGCATCCAGGTCAACTCTGTGATGTTTGTTTGAAAGGAAAAAAACTCAAATATTATTGAGATCTGTTCAGATTTTGATTTGGAGCTAACAGCAGAGAGATTTTCCTTTTTACCAAATATTTGTTTCACAGAAGTCATTGTTAAAATGTGTTTGTATGTACATGCTCTACATTATCAAAATATTTTCTCACCCATTGTAATGATCAGACTCAGGTGATCCAATCCCTTTCATGGTACAGGTGCATAAAGTGAAGCACCCAGGCAGACCAGAACCAGATTAGTTGTAAAAGATGTTTAGGTTCTGCAACAGGAAACCAGGATTATTACAGTACGTTGGTATTTTTATACAGCTGCAAAGTGACTTGATTCTTAGCAGGGATCAGATTCAGTGAAACACTTTTTGCTCCTTTGGGAGGCATCACAATGTTTTCCTCTGTTGTTTTAAATTTCTAACATATTTTCTCTGTATGTTTTTAAGTGAGTGATTAATAACATCTCTTTGTTCAGGTACATGTATGATGATACAAGCAAAAATAATGACTTTGTGGTTTTAATTAAAGTTATGTGTCTTCTTCCATCTCGTCTCTAGAGTGACTTTGTATATTTTCACTTCTTTCCATGGAAACATGAATCTTTTTTCACAAGACTCAGTTATTAATATTTTCAAGTAAAAATATATTCACCATATTCCTTTAAAACAGTGATTCTCAAACATTTTTCAGTGATGTACCCCCTTAAAAATATATTTTTAGTCAAGTACCCCCTGACACGGGCAAAACATTTTTGGAAGAAAAAAAAACAGTGCTGTAAAATCACTGTCTGATTAATTAAAGCCAAACACCTTATATCAGTGAACCTGACAAATACATCCATATTGCAAACATTGCATCGAGAAACAGAACATAGTGAGCACCAGGAAGGCGTAAAACCAGTCAAAACTGAAATATGCAAACACTGCTAATTTATATTGGTCTCTGTAATGGTACAAAATTAAATATATACATAAATAACTAAAAAGTGTTCACAGAAATAAATCTATAACTTAATTATAAATAAATTATATTTTGTTTACAAAATAAATTAACTTTATAAATAAAGATTTGCTGACAAAAAAAACAATAAACATTACCTCTTTTAGGATATAAAAAAGAAGATTGCACTTTAATCACTTTGCATTGAACATTTGATTCGGTTTGAACAGTAAGTAACGGTGTCAATAGACAGTTTTTGATGTATCCGCTGATTTTTTTGTCCAGCATAGTTTCAACAGCAGCGGGGAGCAGCAGGTCTTCCGCTATGGTGAACGATTTATTGGCTTTAGCAACGAGCAAAGACACCGCGTGTCTTTAGTCGTTGCTTTGGCTGATGCAGTGGAGGCTTTTCGCATCGTGGCTTTGAATGACTTGAACTCAGAAAGTTTTCTCCTGAAGAACTCCGGTGTCTTACCAACATGGCGTCCATGTTTTGTGGTGAGATGCCGCTGGAGGTGTGCCGCCGGCTGCATGCTAGCCGGCTGCATGCTAGCCGGCTGCATGCTAGCCGGCTGCATGCTAACCGGCTGCATGCTAGCCGGCTGCATGCTAGCCGGTTGCATGCTAGCCGGCTGCATGCTAGCCGGCTGCATGCTAGCGTTGGCTAATTTCGTGGACGTAAATCCCATTAAAACATACTTTTTCATGTACGTTCTGTACTTCTTCGGCTCTGGTTTTGTCTTCTTTTTCACTTTATCTGAACTTTCAGCAGCATTGCTGCTACGCTTTAGCCAGTCTCCATAGTTACAGTGTAGTCATGGTAACAGTGCGCCAGGTCCATTTTATTTTAAAGGATATTGAAACTAAATGCTGAATATAACATTCAGTGCATGAACACACCTTTATATTTTATCAAACTTCTTACAAAATAATTTTTCTCAAGACTTATTATGAGGAGCCGAATGATTTTTTTTAAAGATATTTTGAAAAGATTCACGTAACCCCTGCAGTACCTCCACGTACCCCAAGGGGTACGCGTACCCCCATTTGAGAACCACTGCTCTAATATATATGTAGTCATTTAGTGTAAAACTTTAAAACTGAATCATAACCTACAATCTGATATAACATTAGATTGTTTTACAAACTAAAAATCATACTCATAATATTTCATTCGATGTTCCAATATGGATCTTTTGTAAGAATAAATTTCTTTTGATAACGGACTCACATTTCTAAAGTTTTTTCCATTAGTCAGAATGATGTAATGTTCTAAAAATAAATGCTCTTCTTCAATTATCTGCAGAAAATGCTCATAAACAGAAATGAAAGGCTTGGAAACCTCCATGTGTTTGTGTAATTAATTTAATACTGTGTTTCACTGAAATATATATGAACCTTTTATTAATGCTGTAAAATATTTAATTTAGTTGTATGTTCAGAGGAAACTCGAAGCGGAACTAAAAATCCTTTACAGTTTCTTCCGTGCAGTCAACGTGAAACACAGGAACCATCTCAGAGCGCACGAGGGAGCATTAGCTGTTCCTTTGTTAGAGGACAGTTTGACTGTTTTCAGTAAATATTTCCGTGTTTTCAGTGAAAATATCTTCAGTTCAGCCTCAGAGAGTTTATCAAGCAGCAGGAAACTCCTGCTGAAGAAACATTCACAGAGTGGAAGAAATCAACGTTAAGATGGAGGAAGAGATGGACGATCAGCGCAGACTGATGGATTTTACCCGGATACCCAAGATCATCTTGCACCGGATAGGTACGAAACAGCTTCACGGTTTACTGATTAGTGAGGTTAAAGAGAGTTTTTACAGATAAATAATCGTTGTGTTCGGAAACGTATTTTTAGAATCCGATTAAAATAAATAGAAACAGAAAATCCCTGGAGAAATGTAACCGGGCCTGCTAAAGTGTGGCCCCAGTTTGGACCCAGCGCTCTGATGCTAACAATTAGCATCAATGCTAAGCTAAGCTAAATTGTAGTCAATAGCCTGTGGAAAGTCACATGCATGTTGACTAACATGGACTTCCTCCATTCAGTTTGTTAAAATTAGTGTATAATCTAAAATGAGCCAAAATGCTAATGTTAGCCTAAATGCTGCTAGTAGCATGTGGGGCATCATTACAATGTGGTCTTACATTGACTTCCTGCATTCAGGGTCCTAAACATGGCTAATAAGTAATAAAAATAGCTAGAAGCTTATTGGAGGGAAAAGTCTGATGCTTGTGCAGCAAAGCAGAGCCCTAACCTGAGAGGAAAAGATCATGCAGGCTAATATTATTGCACTGTCTCTGAGTCGCCCTGCGACAGACTGAATAGAATAGAATTCAACTTTATTGTCATTGTACTGTCACATGTACAAGAAAAATTTGCGCGCGCCGCAGATGTTTCTGAATTGTAGGTGGCTGTGTGGATGCCTGTTGAAAAATGCCTCTTGTGTGACAAAACCGTTTGCAAAACATTATTATAGATCCCATTTGAAGCAAAAATGTTTAATGTTGCATTTGGAAAATTAGTTTCAAAGCAAGTTTCAACAGAGCAGCGTTCAGTGCGCTTCGAAAACACCGCATGGGAACAGAACCAGATTAATGAGTAACACACAATACCGAAGATCATGTTGCAGCGGATAGGTACGAAACAGCTTCACGGTTTACTGATAGACTGGTTAAACATCGCTGCATCTGAAACCTGTTTAAAGAATCCGCACACACACTTCTGCGTCTCCTCGTTGCTTTGCAACCCCAAAACACCTGGATCCATCAGCCAATTCCACGCAGTGCGTCTCGTCCTGGAAACTTTCATCAAGCTTCCGAAACTTCCCGATGTCGGTGATTATATGCGACGTCGCACCAGCGCCCACCATCAAACCTCTCCTCCTGATGTCGACCACTCGCGTGTCAGCGTCGCTCACCCGGACAGCAAACTCTTTGTCGCCGCCCGTCTCTTGGACTACTTTCCGTGTGTTGTCCCGTTGTTTTCTCCGTCTGCAGGTTGCGTTGATGTGACTGTTATTCTTACAGTAACTGCTTCCGCTGGCAGGTTCTGCTGATGTGGCCTTTCATCCCACATTTAAAGCATATGATCTCAGAACTTCCTGCTCCAGGATCATTTGCACCTCTTGGTGAGCATTTCGTGCCAGAATGTGTTTAGCCTTCATCACATTGTCCTCAGATACTGTGGCACGCATATTTTCAATGTCTTCAAAACTTCTGAGTTTAGTCTTAAACTCTTCAGAAGTCAATTTATCACCATCTTCGCTTTGCGTAATATAAACAGCAAATGGCTTCAATGTCCCTGGAAGTCCTTTCAGGACCATGGCGATCAGAAGTCCATCGCTCAGCTCCTCACCTGCATTCCTTAAAGCGGTGATCGCGGATCAGCTCTGATGATGAACTCGGTCACCGACTCACTGAGTGATTTCTGCAGTGAAGTCAGTTCAGTGTGCAAATTAATCACTCTGGGCTTTCCTTTGCCGGCGTAATGGGCCCGCAGGATTCCAAGAGCTGCACGTCCGTCTTCTGCCGCATCATGCATGATAAGTGATGACTCTTGTCCCTGAATGAGCTCGGCATAAAACTCAGCATTTTTCTTCGCGTCTTCCTCTTCATCGTCATCATCGGAGGAGCTTGTCAAGATTGTCTGTTTCAACCCTTGCAGTCGAAGATGTCCTCAAAACTTGGTTTCCCATAGTTTGTAATTTTTCTTGTCTCCATCAAAAAGAAGTCTTGACCAGCGGCTGTGTGCCATGTCTTTTTCTCTTCTGTTCAGTTTCCTTGTTTACTTACACAGCAGATGTTCACGGTCTGTCGATGCATTCACGTGTTTTTCTTCATTGATTCTGGCCCATAACCTGTTAACAGAATCAGTTTTCGGCACAGCGTTGAACGTGACATCAAGACTCACACGGTTTTGGCTTTCGTGTTGCTCCTTTGTTTGGAGGACACACCCTTTGTACACAAGTGTGTTAAATCAGACGGGTCACGTGATGTGACACAATGATCCAATAATGATGAAGAACAACAAATGAGAAAACAAAAACATTCATAATGTCAACAGTAAGTTTCCATTTTAATAATGTAATTGCATATTTCATAAAGTTTGCAGTAAATAAGACTTAATTTATATTATTTTACATTTTCACCTTTCATATTTAATCTTCCAAATTGTCCAATATTCATGTCAAATATTTTCAATAGGACCATTTTGCCATTATTTTCTGCATGTCCGCGATTAACAACAATCACCCACTGTTATCAGTTCTGCTGTGAATCACAGGAAAGTAAAGGCTCAGATTTATTTGTGCTTTTCAAAGTTTTTGTTGAGTGTGTGAATGGAGCAATGTCTGACTATCAGTGGGTGAGATTAAAAACACTGTAGTGTTTTGCTTTAGGTATTTTATGTCACTCTTTCATGTTGATATATATCTTGTAGCTACATGGAGGAAGAAAACTTTTTCTGACATTGGTCTGGAAACCACTAGATTAAGTTATCGCCATCTATTTTGCTCACCTGGAGGTCCTTAATGTCATATTTTCACTCACATCCAGTTCTATTCTGGTCAAAAGAACCTCATTGGTTGAGATAATATTCATTCTTGTCAGATTATAATTTTAGAATAACCCAAAAAAAATCCTGTTATGATACTTTGAGGTTAAAGTGAAGAATTTCTTGTTTGATTGACATTTAAAAGCTTTTGTTTTGTCTTTTTGTCCAGATCTCTCACAATGCAGTGAAGAGGAGGAGATTCTCAATGAAACAGAAGCACAGAGGAACCAACTCATCTCTCATGGCTCTGCAGAAACTGAGAACCAGGATCAGGAAGGAAGCAATTCTGAAGACCCAGGAAAAAGGAGAAAGGAAGAACAGAAACAAAACGAGAGATATGAGAAAACCAAACAGCAGAAAGACAGAACTGACAATGAAAATGCTCATCGAGGGCAAAAATTATATTCTTGTAAAATTTGTGATAAAACCTTTTCTCTAAACGGTAACTTGAAGAGACACATGAGAACTCACACAGGAGTAAAACCTTTCACTTGTTCAGCCTGTGAGAAAAGTTACAGACAAAAACATGGTTTAATCTGTCATATGAGAATTCACACAGGTGAGAGGCCTTTCACTTGTGGGACCTGTGGAAAAAGTTTCTCAGGAAAACGTATTTTAAATGTTCACATGGGAATTCACACAGGTGAGAAGCCTTTCACTTGTGGGAGCTGTGGAAAGATTTTCTCTGAAAAACGTAGTTTAAATGTTCACATGAGAATTCACACAGGTGAGAAGCCTTTCTCTTGTGGGTCTTGTGGAAAGAGTTTCACCCATAAAGCCGGGTTAAGTTATCACATGAGAATTCACACGGGCGAGAAGCCTTTCTCTTGTGGGACCTGTGGAAAGAGTTTCTCTCAAAAACGGAACTTAAATGTTCACATGAGAATTCACACAGGCGAGAAGCCTTTCACTTGTGGGACCTGTGGAAAGAGTTTCTCAGAAAAACGTATTTTAAATGTTCACATGGGAATTCACACAGGTGAGAAGCCTTTCACTTGTGGGAGCTGTGGAAAGATTTTCTCTGAAAAACGTAGTTTAAATGTTCACATGAGAATTCACACAGGCGAGAAGCCTTTCTCTTGTGGGACCTGTGGAAAGAGTTTCTCTCAAAAAGGTCAGTTAAATGTTCACATGAGAATTCACACAGGCGAGAAGCCTTTCTGTTGTGGGACCTGTGGAAAGAGTTTCTCTGAAAAACGTAGTTTAAATGTTCACATGAGAATTCACACAGGCGAGAAGCCTTTTTCTTGTGGGAGCTGTGGAAAGAGTTTCCATGAAAGACAGACTTTAACTAAGCACATGCAAAGACACACTGGTGAGAAGCCGTTCTGTTGTGGGACCTGTGGAAAGAGTTTCTCTGAAAAACGTAGTTTAAAAGTTCACATGAGAAATCACACAGGCGAGAAGCCTTTCTCTTGTGGGAGCTGTGGAAAGAGTTTCTCTGAAAAACGTTTTTTAAATGTTCACATGAGATTTCATACGGTGAGAAGCCTTTCTCTTGTGGGACCTGTGGAAAGAGTTTCTCTCAAAAACTTAGTTTAAATGTTCACATGAGAATTCACACTGGTGAGAAGCCTTTCTCTTGTGGGACATGTGGAAAGAGTTTCTCTCAAAAAGGTAATTTAAAAGTTCACATGAGGTCACACTGGTGAGAAGCCTTTTTCTTGTGGAACCCGTGGAAAGACTTACAATGACAGAAGAAATTTAACTCGTCACATAAAGACTTTCTTATACTAGAAACTTTTGGAAGGAAACATCCGATTTGTTTTTTGTGTCCAATGGAAAATCTGGTTGGATAATGTAAACAGCAAGTAGAAAAACAAATTCTTGCAGGCTGCTAGTGATTCACTGTGACTGTTTGTTTCATTGTCCAGCCATGATAAACCTGAGGTCTGATTTCTGCTATCAGCTTGTTTTTCTTAATCCAGTTTTTTGTTTTAGTTCTCAGTCGTATTTGTGCTTAAGATCCCCATTAGATAGTGAAGTTAAAGAGGGGATCACATTCAGACAGGATTCATTTCTGCGGGTTTTTGTTTTGTTCTGTAGCATGTAGAATAATTTAGTTTAGCTTTTACATTTTTGTGTCTGACTGATTTTAAAATACTTTAGAAATGAAAGCAGTGAAATCTTGTTCTTTTATTAATAAAACAAATGTTTGTTTGAAAAAAAATCTAAAAAATAATTTTGATCTAGTCAGATTTTGATTTAGTTAACCACAAACAGATTTATAATTTTCCCTTTTTTGTCATTGTTTTACTTTGGTATGAGAAGCAAAGTTTATGATTAAGAAGGAATGTTGAAAATGTACCAGTGTTTTGAGCAGAATGTGCTTTTTAATAAACATTGATTTTAATAAATATTGATGGATTATTCAATGATTGTCGTCATTAACTGTTGCAATATTTTTAAATGTCAGCTTTAAGTAAAGCATCTAACGATCCTTGCAATAACAGTAAAACTTGAGTTTTACACAAATTTAGATTTTTTCTTAAATATTAAAATTCAAGACATTTTAAAAAAGGTCACGTTCATTAAATTTTACAAAATTAAAGTATTTTTCATAACTGATTTATTATTCTAATCTCAAATGTAATGTTTTCATTAGTTATTAATTCTGCATTGTCAGAAACTACATGGACCTTTTTTACACCTTTCAGTTACTGCAACCAGAGAAAACACTGCAGACGATCTGCAACACTGTAATGTGACACAAAAGCAAACCAGAAATCTCTTTTGCAATTCAAGAATATTTTAAAAAATGTCAAATATTCATAAGTTAGTCAACTCACACAATGTCTTCTGTAGTTAAGAGCTTTGGATTTCTGATCTTTTAGTTTTGTTGACCTCAGTCAAATGAGTTTCCCTCTTTCTGATCTGATGTAGATCAAGAACCACTGAAGGAAAAACATCTTCAAGAGTTTAAAAACATTAAATACAGGATTTTGCTGGTTTTGCCATCCAAATTAATCAACTCAAATTTGATTCTTATTTCTTACACTTGTAAAAATGGCTGAGTCAGTGATTTTTATAACAGCTGTTTGAGCTGAAACAATGTAGTTGTAGTATCAGGCTCTTGTCAGTAGGTGGCAGCATAAAGTTGCGTCTCTGTCAGGCCTGCAGGTGGAGACATGATGTGTGGTTGTTGCTGCTGGAGGTGAATCATTCAACAGAAACTCATCACCAGTTTTTCTGAACCAGTCAAGTTCTGATCGCCTGAAAGGTTCCTGACATATCGAGTCTGGAAAAACAAAGAACCTGGACAGAACCAGATTAGTGTGGCACATGTTGTAACATAGATGATAAAGACATGAGTCCTGCCAGATCAAGTGTCTCAGTGTTTTCCTTGGTTATTTTATGTGTCTGGTTCCATTTTCCCTTTTGTCTGATTTTAAATGAATGATTAATAACATTGCCTGCTCAGGTTGTACATATATTGTGCCGGGGCATCTTGTCCATGAAGTATGGTGCTGCGCACTCTTCCGCTTGCCCATGTAGGGGAGACGTTGGTTTATTAGGGAGACGGGTAATCAGCATTTACATTTAAAAGCAGGATGATCGTGGAGGGATCAGAGCTCAGTCTGATTCATCTAGAGGTTTGTTCAACATGCAGCGTGCGCTGGGTTTACAATTATTTCTGATGCCTCCACTTTATTGTTGCAGGAAACTTGCTCTTAGAGAGGATGTACAGAACTCCATCAGCTGTTTTACTGTAGAGAAGGTAAAGGCAGTTTATTATTATTTGGCTATTTAAGGTATTTGTCTAATTGTATTTCTGTTCAAATGGCAGTGAAAAGGGAAGACGGAGAGAAGAGGGCAAAAGAAAAGAGAGAAAAAGAAAGGCAGGAAGAGTTAGAGAGAAATAAAAAACAGCAACAACAGGAACATGATAATAAGGACAGAATAATTATGTTCCACAGAAAAGAGGATAATGAAAATGTTATTCTATCAAGCCCATATGCAGGCCTAATGCAACAAGCCCAAGCACCCCCACCGCCTTTAGAAGAAGCCGGGGCATTGGGGGCCTCCGCTTCACCTAGGGAACCCTCTGCTCCCCCACCTGTATACAGTCCACCAAAACAGTGGAGATCAGGAGGATCTGTAGGAATTGATCACATAAAATGGGGAGCCTTTTGTCTCCCCTACCTAAAATATCTAATGTTATGGTTGACGATTCAGAGATTTTTCCCTTGATTGCCATGCCAAACCCACGGGCAGGACAGGATAACCAAAACCCAACAGTTCTGGTATACAGAACATGGACACAGGAAGACATAAAAAAGGCAGTGGAAGGGATCCCACATCCCAGAGAGGATGTGATCCAATGTCTAGAACAAATGGCAAATTTAATGACATCATATAATTTAAATGGTTATGAAGTACAACAGGTCTGGATGTGCCTATTAGGGCCAGAATGGCACTATGTGAAGGGAGACTACACCCCTGTAGTGGGAGATGTGGTCCTCGCACCTGCGTCAGCAGGCCTTATTGATGCTGCGAGAGCACTTAGCGATAGAGTAAGGACCCGCTATAGGAAAAGAGCAAATCACACTGAGATTGGAAAATGTAAACAAAAACCTGAGGAATCTTTTGATGAATACCGAGTCAGAATGGAGAAAATGTTCAAAACACATAGAGGCTTAGAGGAAACTCAGGATGAACAGGGTCCATATAGACAACAGTTGAAAAATGCCCTACATTCTGGCTCCACACCTGACATTCAAGGTTGGGTAAATCGTCATTATATTGGCATGACAGGAGGGACACTGTCAGAATACATAAACCATGCATTACATGCAGAAAAGGTTATAAAATCAAAAAAGGCAAAACAGAAGGATACCACAGTTTTTTTATCAGGATGACTGTGAAGTACAGGCCTATTATCAGCACCCTCAGGGAAGGGGTAGAGGGCGTGGCAGAGGAAGAGGCCAAGGTAGAGGACGATGTTTTGGCCCTCGCCCTACGGAAAATTCTCGAGCCTGCTGGACCTGCGGTAAAGAAGGTCACCTGGCTAGGGACTGTAGATCTAACCCCCTCAAAGAAGACACTGCATGACTAGAACAGTCAGAAACAGATAATGAACCAAACAATGAAGCAGACAATAGAGCAGAAGGCCCCTCTGAAATATTAAATTTGACAGAACTATTTTTTCAGGAAAAACATAGACCTGAAGTCACTCTTATTGTGGGGGGTAAAAGGATAAAATTTCTATGTGACTCAGGGGCATGCAGAACCACAGTAAAAGAAGAAAAAAATTAGAACCTAGTATGGTCCTTGTGAGAGCAGCACATGGCTCTCTGAAGCCAATTCCAGAAACTCAGCCTATACACCTACAAGACCCCCGAGGGATGTCCTGTAGACTGAAAGATGTCCTGACTGTCCAGTTAATCTTTTAGGTCGAGATGGCCTGGTTGAATTAGGACTAGCCTTAGTACCAACACAAACAGGCCTTAGAGTCATGAGAAAGCATGAGAATATTCAGGATGTAATGGCCCTCCAGGGAACTGGGGTAGCACACTACTATTACACCTTGGATGTACCAAATAAACCACCCACCTCTACAGGAGCTTGCCTCATGGATGAGGGAAAAACGCTGTAAAGACCAAATGTCCCCAGACGACTTACACATAACTATGTGGTATAAGAGCACTTCTGGGCCTGACCAAGAATATAAAAAAGAATTAGAAAAAGTCACACCGATTAAAATTACCGTCTCATATGTCTACTCTGACTCCAGATATAGCTCAGTGATTTTATCTGACAAATTAACATCACTGTACAAAATGTACTCGTCCCCACATATTTCACTTTATAAGAGTGAAAAAGAGGACTGGAAAGCACTAGGCAGATTGGTGACTAAAGGGGAACAAGCAAGAAACTGGGTGGCCACATCTGTCAACACATGGTACAGCCAATCAACAGATTTGACCAAAAAAGCGTTGTTCTGGACAACAACAGTGCAAAGCGGTGTCCATCTGGACCCCCCAATCTCAAAATGACAACATATTTACCTAACAGAGTTGGAGGAACAGATGTTGAAAGACATACCTGAAGATTTGTGGTCAAAGGGCCCATCAGATGTGGGACTGATAAAATGTGCACACCCTGTCATCATAAGACCTAAAACAGAGTATAGACCACAAATTAAACAGTATCCTCTCAAACCCGATGCTCAACAGGGAATAAAACCAGTAATAGCAGATCTAATAAAAGCAGGTGTAATAATAGAGAGCCCTGAGTCACCATGCAACACACCCATTTTTCCAGTAAAAAAGGCCCCACCTTCAGTGGGTTGGAGAATGGTACAAGACTTACAGGCTATAAATAATGCAGTAATACAAAGAGCCCCATGTGTGCCAGATCCACACACCTTGCTAAATTCTCTAGACCCAGAAGCTACATATTTTACTGTTGTAGACATCAGTAATGCTTTCTTTTCAATTCCAGTACATCCTGAAAGTCAATACTGGTTTGCATTTACATTTGAAGGGAAACGTTATACTTATACCAGACTCCCTCAAGGGTACTGCGAAAGTCCCACTATATACTCACAAATGATGACGGCCAGCTTAGCCACCTTCGAGCCGCCAAATAAAAGTCAAATATCGCTATATGTGGATGATGTGTTGTTAACCTCCAAAAAT